CCCAGGGGTGCAGCTTTTTGGAGTATTGTTGATTTCCTGGATGAGACTCCTGGCAACGCAGCTGCCTTTGAGTCGTCCACGCTCCTGTAAGTACAAGTCATCCATATTCCTATAAGAAACCCCAATAAACTAACTGCCGACAAAGCTACACATGGAATTATTTCTTTGATCAGTGGTTGGTGCTTTATCTGGACTGAGTAGAAATTTGTTCGTGTCTTCCCTGGAAATGCACACATTATATGAGGGCTATCTCAAGAAACTTAATTTGAGTGTGTGGGGGGATTGGGTATAAGCAAGATGGAGCCCTGATGAAATATGAAATAATTAATAGCCATTTGGACAAACCAGGGTTCATGTCTTTCTGGAAGCCTCTGTGATAACTTCAAGGTGGAGAAATGTTTGAAGTCAGCATCATCAGATGGATGTGGCTCCAGGAGGCCTTAAAATACAGTAACCTGTAGGCAGGTTGATAACATTGTGTGATAAACAGCATGCATTGATAAGTAATAGATGCACAGGAAAAGCCTTTTTTAATTCCTGGGGGAACTGAGCCTCAGAATGGTTAGGTTGTTCAGAGCCCCAGACATAGGGCCTTCTGCCTTAAAGACAGGTCCATACCTCCATCTGTGGCAGATTTCACCTAATACATGGCAAATGAAGTGAAGAAAGGGAAACGGAGGAATGTGGTGGGCAGGGAGGGCTACATTGTGGGGTCCCAAATGGCAGCTTGGTGGTCAGTTGGCAGAAAGATGAGGAAATGGTGGTCAGAGGGCAGAAATGCCTGAGACAGCTCTAAACATCTAACCGCTTGAAGCAGAAGCAGTGCAGGTGGGAATGGGCAGAAGAGAAAGCAGAAGGGGGAACCGCTCCCAAATACAGAAGGAAAGGAAACAGAATAAGTGAAGGAAACTCAGACACTGAGAACGGGGGCTGGGGACAGAGACGCTGTGAATGGAGAACAAGCAGGACTGAGCCAGTACCTCATGAGGGCCCTTCTCATCAGGGGACCTACTGACCTCTCCAACCTGCTCGTCCCTCTTTCCCCTTAACCTCTGGACAGCAGCAGCCTTGCTGACTGCTGGACCTTGCAAATGCTCACCCGTTCCACCAGGATCATTACAATTGTTCACCACTTCCACTGCCCAGAACCCTTCCACCTGCGTCTCTGCATAGATGACTTTTTCCTTCCTGGAGGTCTTACTGGAGTAGCTAACGTCCTCAGAGACTTGCTTGATGACCACCCTACAAAAGGGGGCATCTACCCAGGACAATGTCACACTGGTTAGTCACCTTCACAGCCCTTGGCAAGCTGAATACGGCTTGTACATCTGCTTGCTTATTACCTACCTTCCTCCAGTCACCCTCCCTGGGGAAAGCTTATGAAAAGAAAGTAAGAAATTTGAGTGGGAGTGTGGGTGAAAGGATGGATAAATGAGTGAGCGGGTTGGTGGATGGATTAGTTGCTAGAGGCTGCAGGGACAGATGGGTAGGTGGATGTGTGAATTGGTGGATGATTAGATGGACAGACAAGTGGATAGATAGCAGACAGACTGTTTGGTGGATGCATGGGTGGGTAAATTAACAGCTGAATCGGCGGGTGGGTGCATAAGTGTGTGGATGGATGGGTGGATGGATGATGGATGGATGGATGGATGGACAGAAGGATGGATGGACGGAAGGATGAATCCGTTGAAGCACAATACACTCTCTGCTGCCTGTCTCTTTCACGCTTTACTGTTTGCCAAAGAACTGGTCACTTTCAAGCACTCACTGTTTTGATGGCTTACTATATTTGTCCCTCGTGTAGAATGCTTGTTCAGCAAGTGCAGGGTTCTTACTGACGTCGGTCCCTGGTCTATACCTGGTCGTGACAACAGGGGCTGTCACATATTAAACACTCAGTAAATATTTGTTGGAGCAGTTCCTGGCCCCATGAAAGGAGGCCTCTTTATTTAAGGGCTTGGGGAGAACTGAGTGGGCAGGGGAAGAAACAAGGTTGGATCAAGTTGGGAAGGGTAAGGCCTAGAGACCAGAGAACCCTGAAATGCCTAGGAGGCAGTAGCTGGAGGGTGGGCTTTACTTCCAGCAGCTTCCTGGCTCCTGTGGCCTCATTCCCTGTGGAGCACCACTGCCCTCTTGTGGACTATACCAAGCCTCGCTGGCTCCAGGCTGCAGCTTCCCCTCCACCCAGCAGCCCAGCTCTCACAGACCTGCTTACTCCAGGTAGCTGCTCAGCTGCTCCTATCACCGGGGCAGCTGCAAGGGCAGCCCAGGAAGCAAGTCCTCCCTTTTGTGTGCCAGCGGCTTCCCACCAGTGTCTGTGTAGCGCCTGTGTCACCCCCCACGAGTGTCTGTGTAGTGCCTGTGCCACCCACCCAGGTCACCTCCCACAGCGCGAGTGCACAGCTGCTTAGCGGGCACCCAAGCTCAGGGGTCAATGCCAGTATGTGCAGTGTTGTGAATTATGGGTGACGCTGAGTGGTTGGTGACACCAGGCGGGACCTGGGCCCAAGAGAGATGGGTGCCTAGCCCTGACTGTAGAACAGTGTTTTCAACAAATGACCCTTTCGCAGGGGTCACATATCAGCTATCCTGTATGTCAGATATCTGCTCTACAAATCATAACAGTAGCAAAATTGCACTTTCGAAGTAGCAAGGAAGATAATTATGCGGTGTGGGGGGTCACCACAGCATGGGGGACTGTATGAAGCTGTCGCAGCATTAGGAAGGTGGGGAACCACTGCTCTGGAGGATGGCCACGCCATTTTACAACAGCGGCCCAGTGACTGAGTATGCGACCTGGGGGCGTTCTTGACCCGTGCAAGCATGTTAGCGTGACTGACTAGCTGTTACCCTGAACTTAGATTTCTCATCTAGTTCATTGAACCATTTACTAACAGGTAGATTTCATGTCAGCGACTGGATGTCTAGATTCTCCGAGAATCCTCAACGCCGTGGCTCTCTGGCTCTGCACCCATGTTCCCACCTGGGCATGAGAGCTGGGAAAGGCACCAGCTCTGTTCCCCTGGTGGAAATGCCCTCTCCGGTGGGCGGTCTGGTCCCTCGCCAGCACTTACCCTCCTGGGCTACCTGCCAGAATCCTATAGCCATGTCACCTGAAGTCCCATGCAGCTTTCCGAGAAGGGAATGAACGGCCTTGGTAAAGTGACTGTCAATGAAGGCCACCCAAGGAGGGTCCCCGAAGGGTGGGTGGGTGAAAGAGTGATACCGTTTGGGGTGCCACTAGGGCACTCAGAACAGGCACCCATTCCTCCTCTTCTAAAGTCCTTCCCACTACAGTTCAGCTCACAGCCTAAGCCGAGTAACAAAGGAAGAGGTGAGGTAGCATCAGGACAAACCGACAGCAAGGGACAGAACACGAGTGGACGCTGGGCGAGCAGCTGACCGCTATGACCTGTGCATGTGGCTAGGTCCTCTCCGTGTGCAGAGGAGAGCACTCAGGCTCTGTGAGTTAGGTAAATAAGTCACGTGGCTAGAACTGGGTGACAACGTTGAGGTTTCCATCTCCCACCTCTGGCCCTCAGAGGCTGCACATGCACCTGAGAGGGAGTTCAGTCACCAGCTCTGGGTTCACTTTCATAGGAACTTGTGCCATTAGCATTAATCTCCAGGACTCATGGATCTGAGGGCACCGAATGAGCACGGGAGAGCCAGCAGCCTGGCATCATCCGGGAGCTTGCCAGAAATGCACGTTCTCAGGTTTGGTGCTCCATGTGGTCACAAGTCCTATCAGAAGTGTGGGTGCCTAGTAAATGTAGCATCTCTGGAAGCCCACACTCGGGTATGAGGCTGGCTGGCTAAGCAGCTGTACCACACCTAGCTGGATTTCTTGGCCCATGACTACCTGCAAAGAAGGTCTCAAGCCACAGAGGGAGGGGCGTCGATGTGGAACTGCCCCCGAGTTCCCAGGCTCTTCACCTCCCCTGCTCTCCTGAAGCATCAGGGCCTGCCTGGGACTCCCTCTACCCTGGCAGCCAGCTCGGGGCATCAGAGGCCACATAGAGAATGCTGACGGATTGTTTGGTCCTTCCAGGAGCCTGCCTCCTCCTCATCTGTCTCACTAACCCCCTGGAAGTTGATGCTCACCCTCTTCCTCTGGGCCATCCCTGTAGTTGCCCCACTCTGGGGCAATTACGGAACATCCTGGGTAGAAGATCCATCATGCCCCTGTCTACAACCCTGTGCTGCTAAACTGTGCGCTACCAGCCCACCCTATGCTTTAAAAAGCCAGAGACTAACTGCTTTTTGTTTTGTTTGTTTGTTTCCAAGTTTCCTGCATTGTTGTCCAGGAAAGGCCAAAGGCAATAAGGAACAAGTAGAAGCAGAAGGACAATGGGAGGAGATGGTAGAAGAACTAGACGTGTGCATTCTGTCTGTTTGGACTGCAGCAGGTGGTGGTGCAGGCTGAAGTAGCCCACCTGAACACTCCAAGAGCCAGATTTGTGAGGAAGCAAGACCCATAGGTCTCTGTTGGACCCTTGAAGAGAATGGGGCTTAGAGTTGCATTATAACATTTTTTTAACAACTTATCTGCTATAGTGAGGAGTCTGCCCTGTGTTCGGGTACTGGACGCTAGACTCCAGCACAACAGGATTGCCTGGTGAAGTTCCGGGGGAGGTAAATAGGTTATGAGTACGAAGACCTCGTCAGTGGATTGCTGTCACTATTTCAGGAGTAGTTCCTGTGAGAGTGATATACACAATTCGCCGCCTGTTTGCCCTCCCCTCTCTCCTGCCACGTCGTGATGGGTTATTCCCATTCAACCCCACTCCCTTGGATGTCTCAGCCTCCCATTTCTTCAGCAAGTCTCTCTCATTGTGTCAGACCCGGAGAAAAACTATAACGAGACCTCATCACTTAAAGATGAGTGCGCCTGGGTTTCTGCTTGCCGGGAAGCTGTAGCAGGTTAGGTCTCAGGAAAACACAGAAGACTCCGCCCCTGGCTGTCTGGCTAAGACACCACATTCCAGAGCCGATGCTTTGGGTACTCAAGTTGACCATTGCTTTCTCTCTATCCCGTTCACAAGTACAAAATGTTTCCATTGTAGCCACACATCAAAGAAATGTCGGAATTCCTTGACCTGTACAGGAGAGTCTCTATTGTGACTCCACCAATCTGATCTTTGTAGAGCACAACTGTGGCAAGGGACACTCCCAGGTTCACAAACCATTGAGCTCTCTGTTCTCTTCAGGAAAAGAATTCCCAGGGCACCTGTGACCGTGACCTCCATCCTTGACTCGCCTGCCTGACCTCTGTGAAGGAATACAAATTGACAAACAGTATTTCAGGAGCTGTACCTGAATTTTCTTGCTGAATTCCCCTAAGGGCTCTGCAGGGGACCTTCTCTAACCCCCTCCCCTTTGCAGATGGGGAAACTGAGGTCCAAGGAAGAGAAACTATGCGTAGTGACACTAAGCATTAAGGGTAAATGTGGTAGCATTGATTCCTGGCCAGTGCTTCCCTGGGGCTCTACTGATCATCACACGTATCTTTGGGTTGTTTTTCTGCTTCGCTTTCCATTGTCTTCTCTAGTTGAGATTTTTGTCCCCTCATCTTCAAAGGCAATCAGCCTGGTTACTGCTGAAGACTGTCCTGATCGGCCCTTTCCATACTGCTATGAGCCCCAAGTCTTATTTCATACCCTGTGAGCCTCAACTCTATTGTGCCAGTCATGCGACATCAAGACCTTGCAGAAGCTGTCTCTACCACTTGCTGGCCCTGTAACCTTGGGCCAGGCACCTCACCTTACTGATGATTTCTGGTCCACACCAAGGTTAGACTCTTCCTCCAAGATAACATCTTAGATACCATCTTCCTTCAAGGGGCATGAAGACATTTAGGGAGGCAATGAATCTAATGTCTTCAGTCCTGGGAACAGAATGGCTTCACTGAGAGTTAATTTGGATTTGTTGTGTGCCCTTCCAATCACGGCTCTGTCCTCTTCAAACAGGCTGTGAAATGGCAAGGCCAGGGCCCTTGGATGTTCTGCCTCTAAAGTATGGAAGGAAGGGAAGCAGTCACATATTGGTGGCTCCCTTCAGCCCTGGATATCTCTCTCTCTCTCTCTCTCTCTCTCTCTCTCTCTCTCTCTCTCCTCTCCCTTTCCTCTTTTTCCTCTTTCTCCCTCCTCCCTTCTTTCCTGCTCTCCCTCCTCCTTTTCCCCCATTCTTTCTCTCTCTCTTTGCCTCTCCTCTCCTGTTGTTCTTCATCATACTCTGGTGGCAGGGTCTCACACTGTAGTCCAAACTGGACTGAAACTTGCCACTAAATAGCCCAGCCTCACCTTCAAGTTGTGGCCATTCTCCTGCCTCAGTCTCCCAAGTGCTGAGATCACAGGCATAGCTGTCATGCCTGACTAGACAGTGTCTACCATGCCTGACTGAGGACCTTCCTGTTAGAGACTTGATAGCTACCCTATGGGGCAGTGTCATTATCTCCTCATTATAGCTGAGAATTCTGAATCCTCACAGTAGAAGTGAGAGCAGAAAATGGGATCAATCTGACACTCAGCACCCTAAATATGTCTCTTGTATCCTAGAGAAAGGCCTTGGGGCATCTTGGGAGAAGTTGCTTTTTCCACAAAAGAACCTGATACCTCTTACCTGACCCAGTTTTGGTCTAGATGACACAGTCTTTTCCATAGTAGGTTGTACTATGATGGTGGTCTTCTCCAAAGTCTATGTGTACCTTTGAAGCATCTCCTAGAGTGTAACCACTTCCCACCTCTGGGCAAGGCCACCCACAATGTCGCTGAAGTTCCTCATGCAGAAAAATATAAAAAATTATAAATATGTTGCAGAGATTTATACTGGAATAGTATATTCATCTCTGGAGAATTGAGGTTGACTCTGACTGAATCTAGGTAGACGACCTTGTGGAGAAATGACACTGGACATTGTCTTCTGGTACCCACGCACACGTGCATATGTGTGTCTGCATACATACAAGCAAGAACATAATGTAAACACACACACACTTGACATGGAAGCTAGCCAGGTCCGGTGGCATTTGCTTGACTATATATTCATCTCTCTGACTACATAATTCAAGGATAATCTACATATAATTTATATTTTACACCTTCCCAGAACCACAGCTTTGTTCTAACCTGTGGCAGTCACAGTTCCGAAAACCTGAGACAGAAAGAGAATGAGGAAGCAAGCAAAGAAAAGGGCTTCCCATCTGTTAGCTGATATCGTTCAGATACTATATGTGTGGCCTTGTGCTTGTTTGCATATCTGGAATATTTTCTCACTGGCCTCCTCTGCTCAGCAGTTCTGCTTCCAGAGCAGTGAACTCTTCCGTGTGTTTCTCTTATCTTCTGAAAAGCTTCAGATAGCCTGGGTGCTTGGGAATCGAGCACAGCGGAAAGTCATCTGGTTTTTAAAAATAATAAACACCAGCATTTGTATATAAACAATATACATAGAACTGTGTATATATGCATATAATCTCTACCTCTACCCCCTCCAGAGTATCGAACAGTTGGAAGTGCTTTCTCCTACCTCGTAATACCGATTCCCTTCTCCAGAGTATTACCAAACTGTTCTGAATATGCCTACTTGCCAGGCAAAGAGACAGACTCACATTCAGAGGTCACAGAAGACAGGGCTGGGAGCAGAACACACACATGGAAGGGCATGGAGACATCTTGGGAGTGAGGCCTGGCGAGGCAGAGTAGGGCTCTCTCAGGCCTGGGAGCAGCAGGGCAGGCTGGCCAAATAGTCGTGGTGGGTGCAGACTCCCTATTTTGACCTGTGAAATCTGGCTATCAGATGGCAGGACCACCTGGGCAAGGCAGCCTCTTGCTGGCCTCGCTCCTCCCACACCTGCTTGGCTCTTTCTTGCCTTTATTCTCCACGCTCACCTTTTCTTCTTGAAAAACAAGTTATAAAATGAAAACGACAAACAAAACTGCCAGTATACTCTCTCAGGTTCTAAACGCAACACATATTTTAAAAGTTAGTTTCGGGGTTGGAGAGATGGCTCAGAAGTTAAGAGCACTGAGTGCTCTTCCAGAGGTCTTGAGTTCAATTCCCAGTAACCACACGGTGGCTCACAACCATCTGTAATGATATCTGGTGCCCTCTTCTGGCCAGCAGCAGACATGCAGACAGAATACTGGATACATAATTAATAAAAAAATCTTTAAAAAAGTTAGTTTCATCATCCTTTTTTAAGTAGCAAGTGAATTAAAATATTATTCCCATATCATACAGCTTGTAAACTGAAGGTACACAGTTTCATGGTTTATCATCATAATGATCAGAGTTTGCTTCCTAAGGCTTTGAGAAAGACAATCAAAAGGAACACGGTGTGGAAAGGGTTGGTTTGGCTTACACATCCCGGGTTACAGTCCGTGGAGGGAAGTCAGGGCAGGAACAAAAACAGGCCAGGAACCAGAAGGCAGGAACTAAAGCAGAAACCATGGATAAGGGCTGCTTGTTGGCTTGCTCAGCCTGCTTTTTTCGAGCATCCAGGACAAGCAGCACAGAGTAGCACTGCCTCCAGAGGGATGGGCCCACCCCCATCCCTCCCAATCGTTAATCAGGAAAACGGCCCCAAAACTTGTCTCCAGGCGGATCTGGTGGGACACTGTTCTAGGCACTCACTTTTCTATTGCCATGACAAAACATCACAACCAAGGCAACTGAAAAGGTTGAATTCGGGGCTCATGGCTGTAGAGGGTTAGAGTCATGAGCATCATGGTGGGGAGCCTGGCGGCTGGCAGTCAGGGATGGTGCTGGAACAGTAGCTGGGAGCTTATATCCGCTTCATAATCATAAGGCAGAGAGACAGAGAGAGCTAACTGGGAATGGTGTGGGCCTTGGAAACCTCAAAGTCCACCTTAGTTACACACCTCTCCCAAGAATGTCACACCATTTAATCCCCCCCTCCAAACAGTTCCAGTCACCTCACCGAGGACCAAGGCTCAAACAAATGAGCTATGGGGGCCACTGTCATACAAACCTCCACAGGCATTTTCCCAGTTAGGGTTCCCTCCTCCTAGGTATGTTTAGGCTTGTGTCAAGTTGACAAAAACCAACCAGCACAGTGGTCAAGAATGTTTTCATCTCCTCTCCAGGAAAGTTCACACCCTTTCGACAGTTCCTCTAGCCCCACATAACTGCTATCTTTAGGTAATTCTGATCTGTTTGCCAGCTATAGAGTCTACTCTGGAAATTTCCTATAAATGGATCTTATAATAGATCTCTTTCTGTGACTAGTTTCTTCCAGTAAGTACAATGCCACTAAGGTTCAGTCCCAGGCCATTGCTTTCTTATCTCATAGATTTAATGTACAACAGTTAGCAAGTGTTGATCATTACAGAGGAGGAAAATATCACAAATAACCCCCCTACACCCTGTGTAATCATTGCTAACATTTTAGTGTATTTAATTTCCATATTAGATATAGACAGATACAGTTATAGCGATAGATATAGACATAGATATAAACTTAAATATAAATATAGATATTCATATACTGAGTCCTTCAAACCTTTATGTCCTCTGAGTGAGATGGGTCCACTGAGGCACAGGTCACTCTGCAGAACCAGTGTCATTCCTTGGCAATGGGGTCTGAACTTCGATAGCATAGTACGGAGAGAAAGACTGCCCAGCTGACATGAGAGGGGACTTACTATAGCTCTCTTTAGGAGTAGTGACTTCCCTATGTTCTGAGAATTGTTGCTAGGAATATGTGGAGTGACTTGAGCGTCAGAGGTTGGTGACACAGAATAGAATAGAACTAGACACGCCTGTGTTCTTTCCTGATTTAGAACTGGAGCTTGGAGATTCTGACTAGCTGTCTTCCGGAGAGTCCTCCATGTGGGTTTCCTGTGGATGCACAGTGGGGCTGGGTTCTCCAGCAACTTTAGCTAGGTTTCATTTGGGGCTAGTGAGGAATGTCAAAGAAAGTTCTTGATATCCCTGTTGTTTTCCATGCTTGCCTCATGGACGGGAGTTCTCTACCCTG